GAGAAGCTAAAAAGCAGAGACGTTTGATGAGGGTGGCCTGTCTGGCGCGGGAATGAAGATGGATGGGTGGCGGATCCGGTCTGCCCTGCAGGTCCAGCATAAAGTCGGGTGCATGTTGGCATGTGCTGTCGGGGCCACTGTGTTGATGATGGCGAGATCAGAGGGTTTTCTTCTGCGCTTCTGCATGAATATGGAATGAATTAATGAAAAAAAAAGTTTCCTCTTAAACTGATGCAGCAACTGCATGCCCCACTTTAGCAGGAAGCTTTTTGTTGCTTAATTCATGAGGTGTGGAGTTAACATAGCACTCAACTCTGTATGTAAAAAAAATACAGGGCTCAAAAAGCAATTTAAATATGAAAGCTGTGCTTGTAGAGTCAAGAGAACAGATCTGCAGAAACTCTTTATCGCCACATAATTGCAATTTTTAAAGAGTAGCCAAACCAGAAAGTAATGTGCTGTAAAAAAAATATGATTTTGCTTTTTTGTTCAACATAAATATTTCAGATTGACAAAGAAAACCTGAAAGCAAGATGCAAATTTTAAATTAATGTTTCAGTTATGTAAGTAAAATTTCTCTCCAGAAAACCCACCTGAACAAATAATCAAAATCATTTAGATATTCAGAATTTATATATATACACTTATAAGTAAAAAAATAAGAGACATCTGGAAAATAGTATATAAATTATCTTATTTTACTTTTCATAAATATATGTTTGAGTAAAATTAACATTGTTCTTTTATTCTATGAACTACAGACAACATGCATCTGAAATTGCAAGCAAAGATTTAGTATTTATTTTCAGAAAATCAGAAATGGTCAAAATAAAGAAAAAAGATGCACTGCTTTCAGACCTGAATTTAATGCAAAGATCATTTAGTAACAACAATTCTAATGTTTTAACTCAAGAAGAGGATTTGGTGGAATAACCATCAAGGTTTCAGTTTAAGCTACAATTTGTTAGCCAGAGCCATATAGTCAGCATGTCATATTGTTCTTAGTCTCCTGCTCTTGCCTCCAGCCCTGTGTTTCCCACAGATCTGGCCACTGCTTCCTGCAGTATCTCTCTCCCCGTCCATTTATTATCATGCATGTCCTCCTACCACGTTTCTCTCCTCCTGTTATTCTTCTCCCTTCACTCGTTTTTTCTTTCTCCCCCTCCCCATCCCGTCCTCCAGCTCTTCTCCGAAACCCAAATTATTCCATGTACTGTATCCTTTTGGAGCCCTCTCTATTCCTCTCATTTGTTTATTTTTCTCCCCTTGCTTTGCTCGCTGTGTGTTCAAAAGCAGAGACCCCCCCCCACCCAGGCAGCCAAAGAACAGCACGCGTTAGCTACAACAAGGAAAAAAGGAGAGATTTAGGGCTAGCATGCTTACCTAAATTTACACTTTAAAATCCTCACATTCTTCTTCCTGATTATGAATTTTATTAATAAAAGAAACAATAAAAATGTCAAAATGCTTCTTGAGCTTTTTCTAAAGAAGACAATTACTCCTCTGTTGCACCCATTTCAGGTATTCTGTAAACAGTAATGGCACCGCTGTGACAATCATGGTCAGCAGGGCTGAGGAGGTGATTTAAGGAGACACTTGAAATGCATCACATTTGCATTTTGGGTCTCTCTGCCAGAGATTTAAAAGTAAAATCACCACACCGTATGCACAATTTGCATTATTTATGATTTTCATTTTGTGTTGATGCCTTGTAAGTCTCTCTCTCTCTCTCTTTTTTTTAAGTTTGTTGTATTTCTGCACACACCTCTCCATCACTGACTGGGTGAGCAAAAAAAAAAACAACAAAAAAACCCCCAAAAACAAACAAAAAAACCCGAATGTTTTTCCAAACTTCCAAAAAGTCTGGAAATGAGAATATCACATGTCCTTCTTTTTTGGCCACAGACATTTGATAGATTACCACGAAGTAGTGTTCTGACACTCAAAGCACTCGGGTAATGAATCCTGCAGATGTTGGCGCGGGCCGCAGACTTTTCTTTCAGCGCCACCGTGAGGGTTTACAGTTATTGCTTTTAGTGAGGCTCTTGAAAGGCTATCGCATTTAAATATACAGAATTAAATTGGCTCACGCCGAATGTGATTGTTGTAGAATCAGCAGAGACTATTTTGACTTGTGATAAAAAATTAAGTTGAAAAATGTGGACAAACACCACGTTTTATTTAAGAGGATTTGTTCAGCTGGCGGAAAATATCCAGTGTTAAGCAATAATATGCTACAACAAACATTTATGTGTTTTTTTTATTATTATTTTTTTTATATTGATCAGTAGACTTTTTGTCCTTTTTATTTTTCCTTGTGAAAAATAAAAAAAACACGTTTTATAGAGCTCTCCATATGTTTTATGGCATTTCTCTGTAACAATCTTCAAAATTAGAAGAACAAGGGCACATGCCATTTAAGTATGACAAACGTGTTAATCTTCCTGTCTTTTAATGGTCAAAAGAGAGCAGCTGAACGCCTGGATTTCTCCACATGTACAGCCATCCAGCGGATGGATGAAGAGGTTGGAATAGTGACAAAAAAAGGCCAGCCAGAGACATAAGCTTATATTTTCACATACAGAAGAAAATACATTAAAAATCTCCAAAGCTCAGTACCTGAGCAGATTTCAAAATGTCATTTTTTTTTGCAAGAAAAGTCAAATATTAACTTATTTTAAGGATGATTGCACAAATTTACCAGAGGGTTCAATATTTGTGGATCTAGTATAAGTTCAAGATGCATTGTTTTATCCTGTAGTTTTCTTTAAAAGACTGTAATCAGGATCTGAAAGGAAGGGCATAAATAGAGTAGTATTTAAAAAAACAAAACAAACAATTGTTAGAATTTTTCTGCTCATGGCTTTAAACATTTATGAAAATCAGCCAAAATAAGAAAATGTTCCCATTTTTATTCAGCAAACACCAAAGAGAGTACAGTTATGAACCAAAACAAAACCTCAAGGTATGGATGATGCTTTTTGTAAGAACTATGGCACATTTTTAGCAAAAAAAAAAAATACAGTTCTTTCTAGCTAACCGCTGCACATGCTGCATTTTTTCCACCTTTGTGATTACGGGCTATTGTGAATTAACTTCAGTTGATTAGGAAAATACCTAACAAACAACTTGTGGTTGCGTACCGGTCTAATTTGTGATAGCGTTTCACACTACTGAGTACTTTTAATCTGAAAAGAAGCAGAAGATATGGGGGAGGACAAGTCACTTCATAGCAAGATCATCAAAAAATTTGTAAAGAAAATATAAAGCCAATCATTAACTTATATATTTGTTTGTTTACAAAGAGTTTTGCAGACATCTTCGTTTAGTGCCCATATCTTCACGTTAGAATGCTAACATTAGCATTCAGCTACAGGTATTTGCTTGTGCCCAAGCAAAGTCTCTCAGTTCTTTTGCTCGCTCCATCCTCTTATATATTTAAGTGTGTCAGTGTGTTGAGGTAGATAAATTTTGCAAGGCTTCTATTAATAGGTTGATGAAACCCAGTGCAGCTGCTGCTACTTGGTGTTTAAAGTAACAAAGGGGAGACAAATCTGGGCTTGAGGAGCAACAATAAATTGTCATGAGGAAGACGAGCAGCAACGACGAAGAAATAATATTAAAAGGCTCACAGCGTCTACATATTTAATTTGCCCAATGGCTGTCAGTTTAGCCTAATCCCTGCGATGCTGTGGGAGAGAAAGGAAAACAGATAGCAGATGAGTTCGAAGGCAAGATAAATCAAGAAGGTTTAGCGGCATTGCTCAGAGATAAAGCGCTTTTATCACCGAAGATGTTTTAATTTCCTTTTGGGGAACACACAAGTAACCAATTATTGAACCATGATTTAATTTAGGAGAGCGATTAGACTATTAGGGTCATGGTAAAAAACAAAAAAACAAAACAAGGGTTAGACGTACAGATGCACTAATCTGAGTTTTGTAAAGCCTTCCCTGACAATAACGTTTATTATTATCTACCGTATTGAAAATATGTTTTATGACATTTCTTAGTTATTTAAGAATGCACATATTATGCAGTATTAACAGTAAGCATAAATCAGAGTTTATGTGAGTATGGATACTTTTAATTGACTAATTACTGATTTTCAAACGGCTAACAACATTTTCAAATCCAGAACACCCCATGACAGATACAAGTTGAAGGATCAAAAATTGCAAAGATCTTGGTTTGGGAAATTCATGTTCCTTTAAGTAGCTTCCTACAGCTTTTGTGCATTGTCACTTGAAAAAAGCGAACTTTTTGTTGTCTTCCCTCCTTACCAACCTCTGCACCGAAGAGTGTTATTGTTAATGTGACCTGGGAATGCTTAGGTGTCATGCTTTCACAGATTAGCTAAAAAATATATATTTTTGAGTTATTGACAGCATGTCAAACTAAAAATCATTCAATTATTATTATTTACAGGTTATCATATGCAGCAACGACAAAAAACAATATTAAAAGGCTCACTAATTTGCTCAGTGGCTGTGAGTTTAGCCTGATCTCTGCCATACTGTGAGAGTTTTATGGGAGTGGGAGTTTTGGCAGGCTTGTTTTTCTGCCCAAACAAGTCATACGAGTATCTCGAAAACTTAGATTGCATGCTGTTTCAACTATTTAAAAGTTTCACACATCTGTTAGCACACGGTCACAGTGTCCATCTGCTGTAGTGACGACTCAAGTTTACAATGTGAATGTTGTAGAGCCTGAAAAATAACATTTAAAAAGGGGGAAAAAAAACAACAAGATAAATACCATCTGACAGGGTCACCCCTGCACAGCAGGACGGCTTTGACATTTAGTGTCTGTTTGTGTTTGTAGGAGTGGCTTTTTTTTTTTTAGCAAGAAAATATCCTGCATCCATCTGTACTGTCTTCTCCTACTGACCTTTGTGTTCTTAGTTTCCCAAACTTTTGAATATCACAAAGACTCAGTCCTTCCACCTTCTGTGTCATGGCTAAACTTCTACCCTCACCTTGTCGTTGCTCCGTCTTTAGCCCTGTTCCAGCTGTCCTGTCCCCTCCCCACCCTTCGGACTCTCCGGTTCAGCGGGACCATGATGCTCAGCAGCTCTGTGGAGGTGCCCAGCCCGGGCGGGATAAGCGGCCTCGGCGGGCTGAGCGCGGCGGCACGGAACGTGGTGCGCTCCTCGAGCATCTCGGGGACCATGTACAGCCTGGAAAAGAGCCCCACCAACGGGGCTCCGGACTCGGCGTCGTTGACTGGCAACAAGAAGCGGCGCTCCAGTCTGGGCGCCAAGATGGTGGCCATTGTGGGGTTGTCACAGTGGAGCAGAAGCACACAGCAACTTAACCAGCAAGGTCAGTATACTGGTGGATTATTTTTTATAAACTAGAGGGTCTGAAGGTTATGCTGTGTGTTTTAAAGGTAAAATTTCCAATGCGCTCTATTTATCTTACTGGAATTAAGGTAGAGTTAGATATTAATCTATTCTACAGAGGTTAATCATCTGGATAAAGCAGTACAAAATACAACTTGATCATGTATCACCGTAGTTTATTTATGATATTTACATATATTATAGTAAAACTGGTGTTTCAGGAACACCCCAATAGAGGCCTAATGCACTATGAAGTGTATTTGTTGGTTCATATATCTGACTCAACAAGCTTTCTGTGGCTTTGTAAGAAACTGCAGGTCGACTGTGTGCACTGCTGTGCTCTGCTCTCTGCAGTGGGTTTGCATTGGTTGCAGTAAGGACGCATTGGGACCGTGGCTCCATGCTCTAATATGTCCCCTATAGCATGTAATTACAGATCCTGTGAAGCTGCGATAAACGTGCTTCTTGGTTTGTGCGTGTGTGGTGAAAACAAAGCCGTTTGTTCCTGCTATGTGAAGGGATAACATGTCACACAGTTGGAGAGGCTGGGCCAATACGGGGAGGGTGTCCTGTGGTGTAACATGCTGTTTTGTTTTGTTTTTTTCTTCCAATGTGTTAATAAAAAAGAAGAAGAAAAAAAAACTATTCATCTTGCGCTCCTTCCTAGTGTGTTATATTTCTGCTATGAAAACAGCGGCCAGCAACCTGAGCAGAACAGTGTGTATCTGTCTCTGCTGGTTGTCTGCAAACATTAGCAGACTAACACTCCTTTCAGACATGCACCGCTTTAGTGTTAACTAGCCAGGCTATAAATATGTCTGTGTAAAGGCTGCAGGATCCTTCAGATCAATTTCTGTTACAGTGTCATGGTATTTGTTCCAAAATGTAAAACAAATGAATAACATAAACAGGAAAGGAGGAATTATTCATCTTAATTACTGCAGCTATTATCACAGCGACATACTTGTTAGATTTTGATAGGCAAACTTTTGAAAAAAAAAAAAAAAAACACTCCATACAACCTGCAGATTAATTGATGCTGTTTGTATCCTGCTGTCAGTTTTTATATATGTGCTTCTAGAAAAAAACAAACAGAATTCCTTTTATGGTCATTTTCCTTCTTCTGTTTTTAAACACTGTGAATATTCAGAATAAAATGAACTTTCAATGGATGTTTCTCTTCATTATTCTACTGATTAAATACCCAAGTTACTGGAGCAGTGAATTGATTTATACATTAGACCATGGGTGGGCACTCCAGGTCCTCGAGGGCCAGTCTCCTGCAACTTTTAGATGTATCTTTACTTCAACACACCTGAGTCAAATAATAAGGTCATTAGCAGGACTCTGGAGAACTTGATTGCATTTAGGAGGTGATTCAGCTATTGGATTCAGGTGTGTTGGCTCAGGGAGACAACCAAGAGTTGCAGGACACCGGCCCTCGAGGACCAGGAGTGCCCACCCCTGCATTAGACAGATGTTCTGACTCAAGCTCACTCTTACTAAAAGTCTTCAAGGACATCTTTAAGTTGGGTCCTACATTTTTATGCAGACCCTCTTATGAAACATTACCACTATTTTCAAAGTGGTAATGTTTCAAAGTTTTCTCTGTGAGTGGCATGCTTGTTGCTGTCTAGATAGACATATTACCCCAATGCTGTGCCTTGTGCTTTAAATTTAATTTAATTTTCAATGTGACAAGTCAGGAAACAGATAAAGAAACAAAAAAACATTAAAGTGCCATTATAATGTCTTAAGAAAATCTTAACACCTTCTCTACCTCAATAGATTTATGATTTTGTTTATGATTTCCAAAAAGAATCCACTCTAAGCAGAACTTTACATACTGAAGAGACTGAAGAGCTGCATCCAAATCCTGCCAACTTGTATTAGTCACACTCGTTTGTACCATAAAATTTACTTCAGGTATCTCATGAAACCTTGGAATCAATTGCTCACACCTCTCTTGACACTCGGGCTATTTATTCTCTGACTCCAGCATCAAGATTATCTTTCGAAATAGCGTTCGCTTGAGTTTTTAGTACATTCCTGTATTGAGGCACATTTATATAAACCCCATAGTCCTTTATGAACAAGCTATATATTGTCTGCTTCTGAAAACGGCATTTCCCAATATAGATTCATGCACACACAGAAAGAACCCGCTCCGCTCAGGCACAGCTAACTCTTGTCTGACGCAGACAGAGCTGTCGATATTTTCACCACAGGGGCTTCCGTGTCTCTGTGTTTGTGGTGCTGAGGAGAGCACATAGGAGGGGAAAGTGTGGAAGAGGAGGCAAGGAGAAGCTAAAGGATGTAGAAAAGAGGAAGGGACATGTATCTAAATTTAGATGTTCTCAACAGAAGAACACATCAGGCCTGGAACTAAATCACAGCATCACAGCACCATTCTTCTTTCTTCTCCGTGTTGTCAACAGGTTGTTACATAAATGTCAAAAGTTATTTGAGAAAATATAATTGTTCCTATGACTGAAATTACTGTTGATAGTAAATTTGGTTGTACTAGAGTTTACAAAAAATTATGCACACTCCTTAGTATTGCACAGCGCCATTGTGTAACCACAGTTAAACTTTGGTGTGTTTTATTGGGGGTTTATGTTATTTACCGAGGCAAAGTATTGAGAAATTGTGAAGTGGAAGGGAAAATATTCATGGGTTTCAAAAAATCATGAGGTCTTGTTTGTAGTTCTCTGCCAAATGGGGAACATAGACATGTGGAAGAAACTGCTCTGGCCCACTGAGACCCAAATTGAATTACTGAATTATTTGGCCTACAATCAAAATTGCATGAAGCTAGTCAGAGTTAATGGGAAGATACATGGAGCTAGCGACGACGAAAAGCAAGGCTGTTTTACTGATGCAGCTCATATAAATCATTCAGTGGTTTATATTCGTGGTCCCAAAACCTGGTCCTGAAGGCCCACCGTCCTGCATATTTTAGGATTCGTTCTTTAATAAAACTCAAATTCGTTCGCCTAGAAAGTCTTATTTCATTTGTTTTTTTTCTTCCAATGTGATAATACAAAAGGAAAAAACCCCAAAAACAACTATTTGTGAATGCCAAACCGACTGAAGACCGCTCCAAACGAACTGAAGTGTAGGACATTCTGGATAAATACGACAATAAGAAACGCTCTTGTTTAGCAGTAGGAGACATGACTCGACTTGCCAAAAAACAAAAGAAAAGATTCTTACAACCACAAATCCTATAACTACAAAATATAACAAAAACAATGTGTTTGTGCTAGGCGTCTTCAGAAGTTTTTTGCTCTATTTCCCTAAGTTGTTCTTGGTGTAGCAACTCCACAGACAAAGTTGTGAGCAAGTATTTGAAAGGTTTTGGACTGTTTGACCCAGTACGCTCAGAAAGTGAACGGCACCAGCTGAAATTGTAACAAATGTAGCAGTTCTGGTCCACAACTGAACTGAGTCTACCGGACTATCAGGAGTGAAAACACTCTTAGATATCCCTGTTCCTGGACAATGGATTTATAGAATGAAATCATTGGGCCACTCACTACCTCATTAGCGCCAAAAAAAAAAAAAAAATAAATTCTCATATTGGTAATTGTTTGTAGGAAATACCCTAAAACCTCCGAAAACAAAGAAATCAGTGTATCCTGAAAAGAAAATTCTATTGAGGCTTACAGGGTCAACGTTCCAATTGATTTAGCTTCAAATTGAATCAAGTAAAAGGGTTTTTGCGTAACATCTGTCCAGCCAGATGATGTCACTGCTCTTCTAGGAATCTTCTCAAGCAAAGTTGCAAGTCTGATGCTGATAATCTAGAGGAAAAACAATCTTGTTTACTCAATGAAGGCTGGATTTGGGTCTTGTTTTCCAATTACTGCCTCCTTATTTGGTTTGCATAGATGCCAAAGTAAAGTAAACTACCGACGTGAGCCACTGAGACTGGGTGATAGAGAAGCACTGTGTCTTAGTTGTGTCTCCTTTCAGGTTTTGCCCTGGCAGTCATTAACAGCTCCGTCCAGTCAGCTGCTGGAACTCTGTGTCCCGACTGACACGTGCTGATTGGTCAGTGGGCTGGGTCGACCCGGCAGTCTGCTCCTTGCTCCGCTCAGTCGGTCAGCTAATAGCCAATAAGCCCCGGACTGATTTACTCGGGATAGGAGAGTGAGACGGAGGAAATTTGCTCTCCATGTGTAGCAACAGTGTAAAATCTCCAGTAACATTCAGATCTGTTCAGGTCTGTTCAATCAGTTCAATCTTATGTAAAAATCTACAACTTTTTATCAGTAAACATTGAAAAGCATACAATTATATTAATGCTTTTACCAGCAAGGGAGACACTTTGATGTGAAAAAGACAAGGTGGTCAAAAACAATTGGAGAACATGCCACCATGTCGCCATTACACCATGACGAGGTTATTGTGCTGTTATTGTGTCAGTTTCTGGAGGCTATGCGCTAGCCTGGCTCCATTTGTGGAATTGGACTGGGTCAATTTTCAAAAACACTTTTTTCCTCATCTTATATAAGCAATTTCATTGTTTTAGAGATGTGCCTTAGATGTGTTCTTAGAGGATTTGTGGAGAAACGTTTACCTTTTGCATTTGTCATTATTTGGGCTGTACAAGTCGCGGTGCGTAAAAATGCAGAATTCTGAGTACGATCAAAAATGAAGTTGGAAATATCAGTGCGGTGCCATTGGCAGTTGCTTCAATTTAATCTGCCCTAATTAAAATCATTCTGGAAGCATTACAGTAACTCAGCATTGTGCCTGTTTGACAAAAGTTTAATTAAGTTGGACAAAGTTACACAACGCTGAAAACTGCAGCGAGGTTAAAAACAGACTACTTTGGGTTTGGTTTATTTTGTTAACCCATTCCTGGAGTAACTGCACAGTGATCAACTATGAGGTGGCGCAGCACAACAGAGTTGTTTTATGTATTTGGTCTTTTCTGCTAGGTTTTCAATTCTATGAATTGTGGCAGAGCTC